AACCAATCAGTTCAAACGAATACCCCTTTTGTACTGACCAATCACCCCTACCCAAATTGTTCCTGCCAGTGAATGTGCTAATCATGTTTTAGAGTTGTTATTTGATTTTCTCGAGGTGTGTGATGATTTGCTAGAAGAGGCTATGATGTATGTGAAGTCCCTGCCCTCTCCAAAAAATGTATAAAAATGCTGCAAACCCTGGGCTCAGGGCCTCTCAGTGTCACCAGTTGCTGTGTGTGTGCGCGTGCGGAGGACCGAGCTAGCTCGAAATAAACACCTCTTTGCTGTTTACATCCATCTTGGGTCTCCGGTGGTCTTTGGGGGTCCCGAATTCAAGCATAACAAGGTAAAGCACTTAGAATCTGAGTGCTATTAGAAGAGATAATTTGCTGTACAGATTTTACCTATATCATTATTATATATATATCATTATTATATCATATATCATTATTATATAGAAAATAATGTGCAATTTAGGCTTAATTTTAAAATTGTAACAGTGGTTTAATAATAAAAAATGGTCTATAATCTAATTAACTGCACAGATCATTAAAAGAATATAATAATTATCAATAAGAGTACAGATTTAAGAGTACAGAATGCATATTTAATAAATTCAATGCCCACTCCATTGGGAGAGGGTACTAGGTTTGAACTCAGAGGCATCTTATCACTGAGCTCCATATACCCCCAGTTCATTGTTTTTGTTTTTGTACCAGGGATTAACCTGGGGGCACTTAACCATTTAACCACATCCCTTTTTTAATTTTGGGACAGGGTCTTGCTAAGTTGCCAGGCAGACTTCAAATTTGCGAAACACCTGCTTTAATCTTCCCAGCAGCTGGGATTACATATGTATGCCATCATGTTTGGCCCAGTCCATTTTTTTTGTTTTTATGTTTTTGTCTTGAGACAGGGATCTTGAAAGGTTGCTTGAGATTGGTCTCAAACTTGTGATTTTTCCTGCCTGAAACTCTCAAGTTGCTAGAATTATAGGTGTGTGCCACCAGGGCAAGCAAATACCTATTCTTAATTTAAAAAATCATCAAAATAGGAATAGAAAGCAATTTCCTTACCTCTTAGAAAATACTTTCTAAAATCTTAAGAGCAAGCATTATTAGTAATAAAATATCAAAGACATGGGTATATACGCGTGATTGCATGACCAATGTAATTCTGCAACCTGTACACTCAGAAAAATGAGGAATTATACCCCATCTGATTCAAATGTATGATATGTCAAGATCATTGTACTGTCATGTGTAACTAATTAAAACAAATTTTAAAAAATTAGGAACAAGATAAGGATGCCTACTGTGCTGGGAATTTGGCTTACTGATAGAGTATTTGCCTAGCATGAGTGAGGCTCTAATTTTGATCCCCCAGAACAACCCCACAAAAAAGTACTCTCCTTTAGAGCCAGGTGTTGTGGTACACACCTGTAATACCAGCTACTTGGGCTGAGGCAGGAAGATCACAAGTTCAAGGCCATTGGGCAATGTAGAAAGTCTCAACCCCAAAAATAAAATGGAAAAGGGATGAGGATACAGCTCAGTGAGTGAGGTATTGAGTTCAAGCTCTACTACTAAAGGAGAAAAAAAAAAAAAAAGTAAGGATACCTGCTATCAGCACTTTTACTCAACATTAAGTCCTGGCTAATGTAATAAGACGATGAAAGAAATTATAAACATCCAAAAGGAGAAAAAAAATTTGTCCATATTTCCAGGAAATTTCAAGGAGCCTATTTTTATATCCCATTATCATCAAGAGTTGAATGATATTATTTAGAACAAAATCAATAGAGAAGACATAAATTTTAAAGATCTCTTTTAAAATGTGAAAAATAGAATAATAAATTTAGGAAAAGAAAACACTACCTGTATGAATTTTATGAAAGAATATTTTAAATGACTTGAAGTATACAAAAAGATATCAAGTTTATGGATTAAAAGACTGAAACTGCAGAAAAACTATTTTTGTTATTGCATTATTAGCCCTCTGAACAAATTTTATTGACACTTGGGACCTAGACTAAATGCAAATATAGAAAGTAATTTATGACTAATTTCAATAGTGAGAAAACTCCAGAAATTTACCTTCTGCAGGAAATGTGTTAACATTTCAAGGTGAAGTGGAAGACAACCTAGCCAATGGAGACTTTTTCTTAGTGATGCTGGAACCTCCAGCTTATCTTTTCTTTGGAGTAATTAATTTATTTTCCAAAGGCTTAGAGAAACAACCCAAAATTTCACTTTACACTTCCTAGAAGACTCTCTCGAAGGGGGAAATAGGATTAAGAAGCAAGCAGCTACCTCTTTTCTCTATTAACACATGGTAAATGTTTTTGAGGTTCCTCCTTCACAATACAGATTTCTCATGTGAAGGGTTTCATCCAGCCAGCTCTCAGGGCATTGCCCTATAGATAAAAACTGGCATACAAGGAAGCCATGTGGTTAATATCTGCTGTATGTAATTGTTAACAACCTGCTCTGCTCTTCACTTTTGTGTGTGCACTCAGAATATTAATAATTAAAACAAAACTTCACAATATTATGTTAATTCTCCTGATGTTGATAGATTTGATGTAATTTTAATCACATTTCCATCACAGTTTTCAAGGAATAGAGTGGCAGACTTATACAAATATGAAAATCTCAAAAATATAAGAGAGGTGAAATCCCACAATACTGTAAAAAGAAGGCCTTTTTAGCAAATGATCAATGGGTGAGTCCTATGGAAAAAAGAAAAGTTGAACCCTTATCTCACATGATACAAAAAAACTAAATTTCCAGTGGTTTTAAAGACATAAATAAGAATGATCAAACTTAAAAATTAAAAGATAAAAATTTAATGATTTTTTTTAACCTCAGATTTCTTAATACTGTACAATCCAACAAATGTACTAACACAGAAGTACTGACAAGCCTGACTACATTAAACCTAAGAGCTTCAGTTAATCAAAAGTAAAAGAAAGTAAATAAACAAGCCACGGGTAGGTATCTTTAAAATATATAACTGACAAAAGGTTAACATGTCCAGAAATTTTTAAGGATTTTTACAAACCAATAAGAAAAAGACAAATAACTGGGCAGAAAAATGTAAAAGGAATATTAAAAGCCACTTTGGGAAAAAAAGAAATATAAATGATGAGTAGACGTGTAAATACTTGTGAACACTTTAGTAATTAGAGAAATGCAAATCAAAATCACAATAAAAATTATTTTAGACTTGAAACCTCAATTTAGACTAGTTTAGTCAAAAGTAATAAGTCTGGAAGTACAAAATAATGTTGAACTTAGAAATTCCTATACACTACTGGGAAGAATTTAATCTGGTATACTGGAAAACAATTTGGTATTATAAAAATAGAATATTTGCTAGCCCTATTAGAAAATGGCAAAGGATCTGAATGGACATTGTTCTAAAGAAGACATGCAAAGAGTCAAGGGGTAAGTAAAAAGATATTCAACATTACTAAATAACCACAGAAATAAAAACCAAAATCACATAAGTTACCACTTACAACTCCTAGAATGGCTATTATTAAAAAAAAAAAAAAGACAAAAGATAACAAATGTTAGCAAGGATGAGGAGAAAATGAATTCCTTTTTTACCGTCTGTACTCTATTAAGCAAATCTCTTAAAATTCTTTATGCATATAATCTGTTTCTTTTAGGCATTTTCCTTTTCTCCAAATATTCTAAAAAGATTTTTAGTATTAACACCTATTTAAGGAGGGTTGGGGGTATAGCTCAGTTGGTAGAATGCTTGCCTAGCACTGGGTTCAATCCCCAGCACTACCAAAAAAAATAAAAAATAAAAATAAAAGACCCTATTTAAAACTGGAAAAATACCTACTGCTATAAAATCTAGATATCATATTTTCATCTTTATTATGTTAGCTAAATTTGACTGAGAAATCCTACCAATAAAACAACCTAGCGTTAAACCACTCATATCAGAAAACACTATTATTAAAATATTATCTATCATTAAAGCAAATAAAATATTTATCTGCTATAAATGCCAAATATTATTAAAATGGCCATAAATTTAGATAGAGCAATACTAACCATTGCTTGAAATTGCAGGAAATGCAAAAAAAATGTTCTTATCTAATTCAATTTAATCTTTAATAATTTTGTCTATTAGTTCTTTGGGATTAACTGCATCAACAATCAATTTGTTATTATACAGTTTTTATTTAAAGGTTGTTATTTTTAATTTCTTCTAGATCTTTATTGGTAGGAAGATTTATAAATTTTCCCCAGAAGGATTTCATTATATATTAATCAGTGCATAATATATTACATCATTGAACATAATTTAGATCGTTCCTTAAATTACTGATCATTTGTTTGCATTATAAACTGTTAATCCCAACATTTTTTTCATTTGTTAATGAAAGCCACAATACCTAACATTATGTGGTTCAGGTATTTTCTCTATTGCTTGAATATTATTACTTTATATGACTGTGTTGCAGAGCCTTAGCTATCAGTAAATTTTGTTGATGCTTCCAATACTGTTTTCAATTCTACACAACGTTCTTAAGAAAATGACTTTAGTTTGTTTATCCATACTGCTTTGAAAGAAAACTGACATTCTGTAAAAATAACTAAATCAGTGATTTTAATTATGATCTTTTAAAAATGTTCCTATCAGCAATAAATAATGAAAATGTTCCTGCATTTTAAATTTTCCCATACATACTAAATACATTCTACTAGTATATTTCTTCAAAATGTTTCTTTTTCAACAACATTCACTTTTAATCAAGTCTTTTAATTAACTTTCCAAATAAACTAAATATTCTTTCCTTAAAAGCCTTAAGGACATTCAATTTCTTCATTACAAGATAATAATCAAATGATATACATCAAAACAATTCTTAAATGTATAGATCAACTTTTAAAAGATTAAAACAGACTATCAGTATTATGATCATAGAAAATGAAGAAAACAGAAAAGGCTTTAACAATTTATTCATATATTTTTACCTTATTTAGCTCTTCCCTTTCTTGTTGTAAAGTTTTGATTTGTTTTTCATAAGCCTTGATTTGTCTAAAAGCATCATCTAATTCTCGCCTCACAGAATTAGCTTCTTCAAGTTGCTGCTCCAAATGACTCGACTCTAAAAAACAAGACAATGCTTCTTTTACCATTAAAGCAAATGGTTGAACCACAGTTTGAAACAAATCAAAAAGAAAAAAAAGAAGTATTTGAATTTGGTATTAAGTCTATTAACACCACATACCAGTATGACTCAAGACAAGTTAAATGAATATTGATTCATTGTAAAGATAGTGAATGACATATGCTTAATGTAAAGATTTGTAAAATTTATGGGCAGAAATGCCTCATATATATTATTATTATTATATGTATATATTATATCAGTGCTTGAAACACTAATGTGTATATATTAGGGAAAAAAAAGACCACACTTCCAAAGAAAGCACCTTCTGACCAAATGAAAACTTAAAACTAAGAAAACAACAGTTACCCAACCAAGGAGAAAAAACAAGTTTGTCTCTACCCTGGGTAAGCATTATAGGGCTGATGCCTAATTTCTTTTTTTCCCTTTTTTTTTAGACACAAAGAGAGAGAATTTTTTTAATTTTAATTTTTTAGTATCCGGCGCACACAACATCTTTGTTTGTATGTGGTGCTGAGGATGGAACCGGGCTGCACGCATGCCAGGCGAGCGTGATACCGCTTGAGCCACATCTCCAGCCCACCTAATTTCTTTAAGTTGGTTTTGCTTCTAATAGTTTGGTTCCAGATCTCTTAGTTTCACCAGTGGCTAATTATAGACTAAACTCTGATTTTTAGAGTAAATATCTGAAAACCTCTGATCTAAATCAGTTCTTCCATTTTTTTCAGATGAAATAACTCAGGGAGTTGAATAACTTGCCTAAGGTCCTATTATTAAATGAGTTCCAGAATGAAGGCCAGAGCCCAGTAAACTTTGCACTGACTTCTCCAACTTGGAAATAAATGTTACTAAATAATGTTTCACATGATTGGGTCAGAAGGGTTGTTACTAAACAAAATTGTTAGTTTTCATATATGCTTAAATAAAATTTAAAAAACTCTTAGGAAATTATCCTGGTATCAAAAGTGAACTAGTAAATAAAAGAACTGAAGTTTGTGAAAACAGAATACTAAACACATTCATTGTTAATTCTGTTTTGGACATTTGCTATTCTTTACAACATTATTACTCTAAATGTCAACCACAGACAAATGGCATTAACCTTCTCCGGGAACTTAGATATACAGATACTCAGAGTCCACTCAGACCCAAAGAATCAGAATTTATATACGATATTCAGGTGATTCATTTGTACACTAAAGTGGAACAAATGCACAAAGTATTGTACATTGATATCATCCTTTCAATAAATGAAAAAGTGTTAATATTGTGTTAGTTCTACTGAGAAGAGCATTTCATTTGTATAGACATGCTGTAGTCTAAAAATATCACTTAAATATATTAATGTTTCAAGCACTAAATGGTTCCACCATACATAAACAAAATAATTTAATGATGGTCAGTGTCCTAAATGCATAGCTTTATTTTAAAATTTTGTTTTAAAACTCTGAAAGTTTATATATATTTATGAATAGCATAGTTGTCAACTTTTAAAAATATATGCAAAAAAATTTAAGAAATTTTTATTCTATCTTAATAATAGTTTTTAATGAATGTTTTATATGAACATCAGAAGTTTAGTTTTCAACATTTTCTCAAATTTCAGCATTTCATATAGGAATTTTCTATTCTAATTTCCTTCAAACATGTTTAAATAATATTTTTCTGTTATTTTATACCTAGTATTTCAATAATTTCAATGTAGATATTAATTTAGGTTATTGTTTATGGTAATGACAGTCAAAATTTAGTAAGTGAAGCTACTGATTTCTGTCATTTCCTGGTACATTTTAATCAAATTTTATGCCTCAAAGAAATCATCCTAATGGTACATTTAGTAATCACTTCTGAGCATACTCTTTTATGTACTTTTGAAGAGTTGTACCCTAACATATTCGATTTTTTTGGTAAACTGTTAAGTTACTAACTTATTTCTATTGCTCTTTATAAGAAATAAATCCATATTTCATAAAATTATAAATTATATGAAGTTGATAACAAACTGTTTCATAGGATAGCTTCAATAAACTTTAAGAATAGTTTTGCTGTTTTATTTCAACTTTTTTTCGGGGGGGGGAATACTAGGAATTGAACCTGGGGTGCTTTACAGCTGAGATACATTTCCAGCCCCTTTTTATTTTTCATTTTGAGAAAAGGCCTCCCTACGTTGCGTACAGCCTGGCTAAATTGCTGAGGCTGGTCTTGAACTTGCAATTCTCTTGCCTAAGCCTCCGAAGTACTGGGATTAAAGGCATGTGCCACTACATCCAGCTTCAACATAGGTTTCACTTTGCTTTCACCCCAATATTTCACTTCAGCTGTTTTGCAATGGAGTAGACAATATCTATCAGATTTCCATGATTCACATTTCAGACACTTTAAAGACGTTTTTAGAAAGCTTAAAAATAATTCATTATACAGTAACTTATGAATTATAAGAAGTACAAAAGAAAATGTTCCAGGTTAAGAAACTGTAGCAAAGAGAAACCACTCATTTTGAACTTTGAACCTCCAAAATTATCAGCTAAATGAACTCCTTTTTCTTCATCAGTAGCCTGCCACAGGTATTTCATTATAATGATGCAAAGCTGACTAATACAGAATTGTAACAATCAGTTTAAATAATAAAAATGCCATGAAACATGCATTTCAAACATTCTATTTTGCTCTAATAGATATTTAGAAACCATGAATGATTTATCTCTGAAAGGACAAAAGAAAATAGAAATGGTGGTTGTCTTCAGAGAGAAAAAAAGAATGAAATTTAAGAGGGAATAAAACTTTTTTATCTTTTGAAATTGGTAGGGCAGTAATGGGAAGGAACCCATCTAATTTTTTTTTTTTTTTTAGAGAGAGAGAGAGAGAGAGAGAATTTTTTTAATATTTATTTTTTAGTTCTTGGTGGACACAACATCTTTGTTTGTATGTGGTGCAGAGGACAGAACCCGGGCCGCACACATGCCAGGCAAGCGCGCTACCACTTGAGCCACATCCCCAGCCCCCATCTGATTTTTTATTAAATATTCTACTATGGAGAGAAACATGCCACTTGTAATTTGAAAAACAGAGGTTTGCATTCTGAAAAGTCATAAACTATTTTACAAGCAATAAAAATCCAGGATGCTTTGAAATTTGGTCCACTAATGGGTTAAAATGGGTAAGGCAGAGCTGGGGTTGTGGCTCTAGGGTAGATCGCTTGCCTAGCACATGTAAGGCCCTGGGTTCAATCCTCAGCACCACATAAAAGTAAAATAAAGATATTGCGTCCATCTACAACTAAAAAATATTTGAAAATGGGTAAGGCAAAAAAACTTTTGAAAGAAGCTCTCATCAGACTATTTAAAAATATACATTGCAACACAATTAGCCATAACATTTAGGTGAAGTTATTAAAAACTAATTTTAGTGAATAAATAGAAAAAATAGTACTAGGAAATGGGTTAGCTCATATCAACTAAATGGTTCTTAGTACATGCCTGTTATTAAAATTCTGAAACTCAATCAGTTAGTAATGAAGACTTAATAAAAGCATCATACAAAGGAGGTACTTTTCTTTGCACTGAGGCATATAAGAGAAATATAAAATTTGGTCTTAAGTTCTCAAGGACATAATCAAGTTAAAAAGAAAAGAGTTAATACTCAATATCATAAATAAGGCAGAAAATTAGATACAAATTATGTTAGTAGGTTATATGTGCTATAGAAATTAAGAGAAGGGTGCAAAGGGGACATGATTAAAATGGTACTTGAAATGCAATACTAGAAAGCTAAGCACAGTGGCAGCATTTGTAGTCTCCATTACTCAGGAGGCTGAGGTGGAATGCTCACTTAAGTTGAGGAAATTTGAGATCAGTCTGAGTACCAGTGAGAGCTTGTTTCTAAAACAAAAGTATAACTAGTGAACTTTTTAAAAGGGGTTACAAAACTGGAGGTCATAGAAGGTTGGTCGACAATCAAAGTATCTCCCTGATGCACAAAGAGTAGTTTCATAACTTTTCCATAAGTTAATGTCATAAAATAACCCAAACTTCTTCAGAGACACAAAGACATTTTACTTCTAATCAACAATGGGGGAAATGAGTTCCCTAACGGTCATTTTCCTCTGAGAATGAGATAAAGACAGATGGAGAACACATGTTAGTTTAGGACTCGAGAGAAAGAATACATGGAGATATAGAAGCCCAACCCCAAGACCATAAAAGAAAAGGAGTTTAAAAAGCATATTACACATTATAGTAAAATTTTCATTTGGAAAAATATTTTTCATATAAAAATATTAAATGCGGGCATAAATTTTTATTTTTGTCTGTAGACCCTCAAATATGTATTTAATATGATGCCAGGTATTGAGATTAATATTAGGAATACAGTTGTAAAACAAATTCTGTCCCTGCCCTCTAAGAATTCAGAATATAGTAAGTAAAGACAATATTAGAAAGCCAAAAAATCATTGTAGATTTATTACATTTTTCTAGAAATTTTTAAATACTAGAAATATAAAAAGAGCTATAGGAAAATACAAAATATAACATCATCAATTGGTGGGTATTTGTGTACACAAAGGCCTGCTCAAGAAGTACCTGGAGGAACATTAGATTGAGGGTGTTTTAGATAGTTTTTCCTTCAGGGTCAAGGTTAAGTAGGGGCTACTCATTAGACAGGTGTTTAGGGGAGTTATGTTTTATCTCCAACTTTGATATAAAAATATTTTAAATACTTTGGCTCTAAGGGTGAATGAAGCACAGCTTTTATATTCAACTTTACCACCCATGTCTCTAGCACCTTGCATAATTCTTAGGACACAACACCAAATCAATTTTTTACATACTGAAGAGTTAATAAATGTTACTCAAGAAAATACAAAATGGTACAGCCAATGTGGAAAATGGTAATGGTATGGTTATTTCTCAAAAAATTAGAATTACTATTTAATCCATAATTCCATTTATAGATATATATTCAAAAGAAGTGAAAGCCAAGACTTAGATATTTGTGCATTCAGGTTCATAGCAGTATTATTCACAATAGCCAAAAGGTAGAAGTGACTTGTGTGTTCCTGGACAGATAAATCGATAAACAATATGTTTTATAGAAATACAATGGCATTTCACTCAGACTTTAAAAGGTATAAAATCCTAATACATGCTACAACATAGATAAACCTTAAGTATATTATGCTAAAAAAAATAAGCCAGACACAAAATATAAATATTTTATGGTTCCACTTACATGAGGTTTCTAAAATTGTCGAATTAATTGAGACAGAAACAGAATAGTGATTGCCAGGGGTTAGGAGAAGAGAATGGAAAGTTATTGTTTAATGCACACAGAATTCCATTTTGGGATAATAAAAATGTTCTAGAGACAGATGATGGTGATGGCTATACGACAATGCAAATGTGCTTAATACCACTGAACTAAGCATTTAAAAATGGTTAGAATGGTAATTTTTATGTAATACATATTTTATCAGAACTTTTAAAAGGTTACAAATTATGAATGAATGATACTGAAGAGATGGAATGAAACACAGCACATGACTGAAACTATCACATAATGGAAGAGAGCTTGGCAAGGTAAGAATACTTAATATGGGGATGATCTTTTATCTCAATATTTTTACTGACTCTATTCTGTCTCTGGGAGATAAAAAAAAATAAGAACAGTCCTATGAGCACTGATTAAAAATATTTTATTGAATAAATGAATAAAATTATGAACTGCCAACACTACTTAAAACAATGGCCTTTTTGATATAAATTAATCATAAAAGATGGTATTGTGCAATTGAACAAACTATATAAAATTTTTAAAAAGACATGTCCCAATTATATGCTGCCTAGAAGAAACTAACTTCAAATAAAATTATGTAGAGAGGTTGAAAGTAAAAATGGAGGAAAAGATATACAGTACAAATATTAATGAACAGAAAGCAGGATTGACTATATTAACATTTGGTAAAGGAGATTTAAAAAATTATGAAAGCCAGCTTAATAAAGAGTATCTATAAAAATCTACAGCAAATATTCCACTGAAAAGTGAAAGACCAAATGCATTCTCCCTAAGACTGAAAAGCTAGGGTGTTTTTCTCACCACTTTGACACAGTGTTACAAGTTCTAGATACTGAAACAAGGCAGAAAACAAGTGAAAAGCATACAAATAAAAAAGGGAGAAATAAAAACTGTTTCTATTTGCAGATAATGTAGTTGTCAGCATAGAAAATCCTAGGAATCTTTTTTTTTTTAAAGTCCTCCTAGAACTAACAAGTTCATCAATGTCACAGAATATAAAATAACATATAAAAATCAATTGTATTTCTATGAATTAGTAATAAATAAGTGTACACCAAAACTGAAAATATAATACCAGCTGTTCAAAAAATGTAAGTATTTATTGCTCTTCTTATATAAAATGGGCTGGATGTCACCATAGGTTCCTTTTTAGAAACTGGTAGAACATACTATAAGTAGAAACAAAATGTGTGGTTTTTTTTAAATCACCCATTTGATGAAGTCACCGAAGAAGCTCACAACAATTTTGGTGAAGCATACAAATACTATTTATTTAAATGTTTTAGATCAATTCCATCTATTTCACCATAATTTTTAATTGTAAAACAAACTTTCAAAAGTTACTGCTATTCAAAGCCTCTACCATAAAAAAAAAAAAGTAGATCTAAGATAGGTATATAGAGTTTTCCCAAACCAAACTCCTTTGAAGATAAATCACTGTCTATCCTAGCTGGTCTTGTGTTCCACTGCTTTTATAGTGTCATACAACTCTAAAATAAGACATTCAGTTTCACTGTAAATATTTTATCATTGATACCAAATCAAAGTAAATGATTCTGCTTATACTGTTATTAACCTATTTTTAGAAATATAAATTTAAAGAAATTTGAAAAAGAGACATTTCTTAGGAAGTAAACTACTTTTATTAAAAAAAATAGCATTTATACATTAGGTTCAAATTTAAGATATCAATATTTATTTGATAAAAACAAAATATTAATGTGGCACCTTAAATCTTTTTTAAAATAGAAGACCCTGTGTCAGTTCTTCTTTTTTTCCATTTATTTTTGCCTTAACCTGCATTTCTGGAGAGGCCCAATCATTCTAAGATAGTGCCCTCTTTCTTCTGCCCTCCACTTATTCACACATCATGTGATGTCTCTATAAACCCTGGAAAAGGTTATTTCACTCCGAATGAAAACCAAAGACTTCATAGTAATGACTAAGACTCCTGGGTTTACTTCTCTAATCTCATTTTTTTCCATTCTCTCTGATTACTTAGTCTTCCCTAGCCATTCCGTCTTCTGTTTACAACATTAAGCACATTCTGATTTTAGGGCTTTGTACTGGCTGGTCCTTCTGCCTGGAACATGTATTTCCAAAATTACATATGGCGAAGCCCTTTACCTACTTTTAAGTTTGTGCAAACATGTCATCTTCTCAATTAGGCCTATACTAGGTCCTACCTTCTTAAAATGATAAAATTCTTCACATGCACATCTGACTCATCTCCTTATTCTACTCTATTTTAAAGCACTTGTCACCTTCTAACATACTGTTATCATTCATACACTTCCATATTTACTGAGGTTTTTTTCCCCCACTGCTTGACCTCCATCCAGGCAAGGCAAGGATTTCTGTCTTTTAAACTCAAAAATAAGAAACAACATCTGGTATTCAATAAATATTTGTTGTAAAATCCATGAATGAATAAAACAGACATGTCAAATTAATTTTAATTAATCTTAGTAATACACTGAAAAATAAAGTATTACAAAGAAAATAAATTTTCACAAATCTTCATGCCTATGTATATGCAGTTCCATTCTATTACAGAGTACCTCCACTTCTTCAGTCTAATTCCCTTTTCCCTGTTCATACATATGATTTGCCAAAATCCAACTTGATTTCCAAAAATAAAGTAGGTCTTTTAAAAAATCATCTTTGTTCTCTTTAAACACAAGTGCTCCTCCTATGTACACTTCATGTACATCTATTAACTTTTTCCCATAGCCTCTTTACCTGTGTTATAATGACTACTTGTATTTCTGATTCCCACACCAAAATATGAATTCCTTGAAAACAAAAACCATTTTTATTTGCTTTTTCCTCACTGATATATAACTTACAACACAATACAGGGACTCAATGGATGTTCTGTGTATAAATAAACCAGTTTTTTAAATTTACTAAAAGTGAATAAATGATGAACCACAGAAATTTACCTTCTACTTGTTTCCTTAGTTTTTCAATTTCTTCTTTTAAGGTTTTTATTTCTAAATCCTTGCTTGCTGTTAGTGGACCATCAACAGTTGAATACTGTAGAGCTTGGACGGTCTGTGTTGACTCTTAAAAAAAAAAGAAAAGAAAATTATCAAAGTACTTTAAATTTTAAAAAGTAATATTAACAGTTTTGTAGAAAAATCTTTACATAATTTTATAGACCAGAACATCTATCCATTCAAAAAGAGCATTGTCATAAAAATTAAGTCATAAAAATTGCATATCTTTAAATTATTTATATATGTATAATATATATTTATATATGAATCTACCTTCTAATACATAAGATTTTTCATTTTAAGTACTCATGTACTCTTGGTGTACTCTGCCAGTGAATCAACTATTTATTCACTCTGTACTAAAAGAGCATTAGCATGTGATAATTCAAAAGGATCATCTGTCAGATGATACATGAACAACTGAATCTGGTGTACAAAAGAAGATTCAAACATGCTATTATATCATCTATGGAAGTGCTAGCCTTCCAAATTTCATGTATGAAAGTTGAGGCCCATCTATAGATGACTTTTGTTTCCCAATTTAGTTGAAATAGATTTATTAATTTATCCTACAGTTCTAATCAGAAGATGCAAGGAACTGAAGAAACATTAACTCTATTGAGGCTTATTCCGAGATATCATCAAAAGATAGGGGAAATAAAAGAAAACTTTAAAACTATTTTATGTCAGAAATGAAACCAACCTTTGTTCTAAAATAGGTGTCTGCTATATAGGAAAAGGTTCCCAAAAGGTAAGTCTCACCCTTATCAAACTCTCTGTGGGTTAGTGTAAATCATTA